GGGGCGGAGGGGCGCTGCTGTGGGCGGGCGGGGCGCGGGGCCATGTGCGAGCGCGGCGGGGAAGCGGACGGGATCCGGTCGAGAGCCCGACGAGGGTCAGAGCCTGGGCGGGATCCAGCGTCTGGGCCCCGGAAGGCCAGCCAGGGTCAATGTCTAGCACGGGTTGGACTGCGGGGGCCTGGCCCCGCTCAACCTGGGGCCGTGGATCCAGCCCCTGGGCAGGGTTCAATACGGCCCTTGGGGCGAGCCCAAGTCCCTGGGGCGGGCTGGGGTAGAAGACGGGAAGGGTTCTCGGTCGGGAAGCAGCTCTGAGGACCACGTGGGGGCGCTCGAAGGGGCCTGGGCCACCCTCCTCTCTGGGTCAAAGGTCATCGCAGCGGAGGGGAGAACTTCTTCCTCCTCTGCTCTCTTCACTTACTTCCTGATAACCTGATAGAGGTCCCCCGCGAGCGGAGGGGGAGGGAAGGCTAGCAACTTTGGGTAACTTCCCATAGGTGTGCGCAGGTTAGGGGGCGGGGCGCCCTATGAGGTGGTGGACTCTGCGGCAGGCTTGGGGTGCAAGGAGGTGGAGCCGCACCCGATGGTGTGGCTGGAACTGGGCATGCTGGGGCAGGAGGGGCGCGACGTGTCTCGGCTGAGAGGCTGTACTTTCTCAACAGAGTCTGTGCCACTGTATGTGCCTCTGGGGACCCTTCGAGATGGTGCGGGACTGAGTCTTGAGGGTGTGTTTATGGAGGGTGCCTTTTGGGAGGAGTGTGAGAGTAAGGACTGGGGTTTGCGAGTGTGAAAACCCCCAGAAGAGTGAGTAGGTCTGTGGGGACACTTGAGAACCCAGGTGAGTGGGGTGTGGATATGAACACACGAGTAGGCACATCTTTTGCCTCTCCTGGGCCGAAGTGGTTCATTGTGCCCTCTTGAATAGAGGGTACCCAGGTGAAGGGGAGCTCACTAAGGTCATCCCAAGATCTGGAAGGGATTCCAGGTGGGGGTGGAGGTTGACTGGGGGCTGAGATTACTTTGCCCCTCTGGCCTCACTCAGGTTCCCAAGAGGGGGACCTACTGTCAGTTACTGCCCTGGAGGCTCTGGAGACTGTTCCCATGGCAACAGCTGGGGGGGGCCCTTCGTGGGCAACTCTTCCTTGGACTCTGCCCCCCTTCCTCCCCCTAGCTGAGCCTGGAAGCCTGGCCCAAGCCCAGGGTTGGGCAGTCCATGTGGCAGCGTGTCCTCCCATCCCCCATCCCTCTGCCTGTCTGTGACCTGATGGTCTCTCCCTGCAGGTGACCAGCGCCATGTCCAGCCAGGTGGTGGGCATTGAGCCTCTGTACATCAAGGCAGAGCCAGCCAGCCCTGACAGTCCTAAAGGTTCCTCAGAGACCGAGACTGAACCCCCTGTAACCCTGGCTCCTGGTCCAGCTCCCACCCGCTGCCTTCCGGGGCACAAGGAGGAGGAGGATGGGGAAGGGGCTGGGCCTGGTGAGCAGGGTAGTGGAAAGCTGGTGCTCAGCTCCCTGCCCAAACGCCTTTGCCTGGTCTGTGGGGATGTGGCCTCTGGCTACCACTACGGTGTGGCATCCTGTGAGGCCTGCAAAGCCTTCTTCAAGAGGACCATCCAGGGTGAGCCCACACCCCTGTTCTGTGCCCTTTGTCCTGTACCCTTGGCCTGTCACCTCCCAGCTGGTACACTGCTGGGTACAGTAACCTCTGAGTCTGACCAGGTACTGCATGAGGTTAGCAGTCTGGGGCTCCCAGGCCCTTGTAGCTCAGAAAAGTGAAATAAAGCCTTAGCACCTGTCAGTGGGTTGAGTGGGATGTGAGAGGGGACATAGGTGCTAGGTGTTTTCCTGGATGCCCTAGGCTCAGTATACCTTTGACAGTGGCTTAGAAAAATTCCAAGGGAGCCTCTGCCTGTTCTAAATCTTTGTTTTTGACTTTGTTCTTTCTGGCCACTGCTGACCTCTGCCAGCATAGAACATGCCCCTTTTTCTTAATTTTCTCAAAGCAGCATCAATGAAAGCAGATTTTTATGGACATCTGCGGGAGGCCTTCTTAACTGAGCAGCGTCTCCAGCCTTTTAAAAATTTTCTTTCTTTCTGTTTTCTTTCTTTACTTTTTTTTTGAGACAGTCTTGTTATGTAGTCCAGGCTGGCCTCAAACTTGTGGAGATCTTCATTTTCTTGCCTCAGCCTCCTGAGGTCTGAGATTATAGGCATGTACCAGCACACCCAGCCTCTACATCATATTTTAGCATCTGACTTTAAAAAGATTGTTAGAGAGCCAGGCGTGGTGGTGCACATCTATAATCCCAGCACTTGGGAGGCTGAGGTAGGAAGATCATTTCAAGTTAGAGGCCAGCATGGACTACATGGTGAGACCCTGTTTCAAAACAAACAAACAAACAAAGAAACAAAAAGGATTGTTAGGAATCCCTGGTTTGTTTGTTTTTTTTCCTTCTTTTTTGAGACAGGGTCTCCCTCTGCAGTTCAGGCTGGCCTCAAACTTGGAATGATCCTCCTGCCTTAGCCTCCTGAGTGCTGGGATTACAGGCATGCACCACCATGCCGGGCCCCTGCTCTTTTATGTTTATTTGTTATTAGAGACAGCCTTTTGCTGTGTGGCTCAAGCTGGCCTTCAACTTGTGATATACCTGATATATGGGCAATTTAGATGTGTCTCAAAATTTAAGAAGGGCTGGGGATATAGCTCAGAGGTAGATGCTTGCCTAACCTATGCAAGGTCCTGGGCTAAATACACAGCACTGCATTGCCTGCCCCTCAGGTCCCCTCCCTCAGGAAAGCAAACCAAACTGAACATGTAAGATGCTAATGTAAACATTTCCTGGGATTGGCCTATTAGTTAAGTTTTTATGTAACTATTGGTTACTTTGGGGTTTATAGCAAGTGTAGTGAAAAAATTTTTGAGTGCTTACTGTGTACCAGTGACTGGCCCACAGCAGTGCTATGTCAGCACTGTCATAGTTGAGGCCCAGAATGGTTCTTGAAACTTGGTTCAAGTCTCACAGGCAGAAAATGGCAGAACGAGGATTTGATATAGGTCCAGAACTGAGTTCTTAAACACCAGACTGCTGCTTCTGCTTATAACTAATAACTGGAATTTGGACCACTGATTGTGACATCCCAGTAAGGGTTTTTTTTTTTTTTTTTGTCTTTTTGAGACAGGGTCTCGCTATGCAGTTCAGGCTGACCTTGAGCTCACTTTGTAGCCCAGACTGGCCTCAAACTTGCAATGATCCTCCTGCCTCAGCCTCCCAAGTGCTGGGATTACAGGCATGCGCCACCATGCCCGGCTCCTAGAAACTTTTTTTTTTTGGTACTGGTAATCGAACTCGGGACCTTGTGCTTGCCAGGCAGGTGTTTGTGCCGTTGAGCTAAATCCTCAGCCCCTCCAGTGAGTTTTGACTTAGCTGAAATACCTTAGTCTACAACTGTGTTCCCTGCTGGCTCTGAAGACCAGTGAGGCAGCAGGGCCAATCCAGGTGTCCTCCTACATTTACCCTGGAATCCTTTGTGCAGCTGTCAACAAGTATTTATTGAGTACTGGCTATACAGTCATTTATTGGGTATTTAAGTGCTGTTTTGGATTTTATTTTGGAGCACCTTACCACTGAGCCACAATTTCATTGGCAAGTACTGTGTGTGTGTGTGTGTGTGTGTGTGTAGTACTAGGGATTGAACTCAGGGCCTTCACACTGAGCTACATCCCCAGCCCTCCCATGCTGGGCCTGAACTTGTGCTTCTCTTTCCTCTGGCTCCCAGAGTGCTAGGATTAGGATTACAGGTGTCCATCACCAAGCCCAGCTCCAAGTATGATTTTTATCATCCCAGTTTCACAGCTGGGAAAACTGAGGTTTAAGGGGGTTAGGTCTGGGACTTGCTCAAGGTGACAGTGGTGGCATCAGTGGTGGTGACAGGATGGACCCCACACAGATTTTCAGGCATGTGTTTTGCTGTCCTGACCAGTGTTCCAGACACAGAGCACAGCTGGACTAAGGTGGGCAGAGGCAGGGAGCAAAGCATGTGCTGAAGGACTGGCCTGGGTCCTGGAGGGTTTCTGTGTGTGTGTGTGTGTCTGTGTCAAGCTGAGTGCAAAATCTGCCGGGGATACAGAAGGAAGTGTACTTGTTAGCTAGAAATACCTACAGAGGGGGAGTTAGCGTAGGGAAGGCCTCCCCGAGGTAACAAGGGGCAAAGGTCCAAAGGGGGTGAGGAGGAAAGAGCTTTCACAGAGGGCAGGACCAGACAGGAGCCCAGGCAGGGAGCTGCATGCCCCAAGGCAGCCCTGTTTGAGAAACAACAGGTGTGGAGCAGAGGTCATAAAGGTGAGGGCTAGGTAAGACCAAGGGGAAGGCGTTGGAGGGTTTGAGCAGAGGTGGCACCGGAGCTGACACAGGCCTCAGGATCCCTTTGGGGAGAGCAGGCCAGTGAGGTGAAAGGTGGTGGTGATAAAAGTCCAGGGGGAAGCAGTGGCCAGGGGCAAGAGGAGCGAAGAGTCAGGGTGGATGAGAAGATAAGGCCTCCAGGATTTGCTAACAGGTTGCACACGATGTGCAAGGGATGTGATGATCCGCACAGGTTTCTGCTTGGGCAGCAGGATGAATGCAGGTGCAGGCTGGGCAGGGGAGGTGTGGGTCTGTGTAGAATGTGTGAGGTTTGAAAAGCCTTCTGGACATATAGGATGTCCAGGATGCAGCTGGATTGGTGAGTGTGGTGCTCAAGGCAGGTCTGGGCTAGAAAAAAATCAGCAAGTCCTGTGAGGTAAGACTGCTGCAAGAGTGAGTGAGGGTGAGGTGCCAGGCCGGCGCGGGTGACTTCAATGGAAGGAGCTGTGGAGATGCAGAGAAACCACAAAGTGGCCAGAGAGGTGGGAGGCAAAAAAGTGTGGTGTCCTAGAAGCAAAAGAAGAAAGCATCCAAGTGTTTCTAGGAGCAAGGTGTGATTAATGTGTTTGGTGCTCATTTAGACAATAAGATGAGAACTGAGAGTTGACTGTTAGATTCAGCAGCATGGAGAGTAGTGTGGCCTAGTGGAGTGGGTCGACCAGAGGCCTGGGGAAGAGAAGCTGCCAGGCTGCTTGGTCCCTGCCCTTCCCTTATCTGGGTAGGGGTCCCACCCAGTGGCCAATCCTCTCCCTTCGCTGCTTATGGCACCCTGCTCTCCCTTTCCTTCCTGTACCCCCAGACCTGTGCTTGCCCAGGGCAAGTCAGGGCTTTCCTGTCCACTGGGCCCCCTCCAGGCCTGGGGAGACCGCCACTGGAACCCTGGCTCTTCTTGGCAGGGAGCATCGAGTATAGCTGTCCAGCCTCCAACGAGTGCGAGATCACCAAGCGGAGACGCAAGGCCTGCCAGGCCTGCCGCTTCACCAAGTGCCTGCGGGTGGGCATGCTCAAGGAGGGTGAGCACTGGCAGGGTCCTGGGTGGGGCCAGGGTGTGCCTGAGCATGGGGGTGCAGGGCCTGAGTAGTTCTGCTTAATGGGCTGAGGACAGTTGTGCAGAGCAAGCCTGTCCCAGCCCTACAGACTCACCCTGTCCTACAATTCAAGGGGTACGCTTGGACCGTGTCCGGGGAGGGCGACAGAAGTACAAACGGCGGCCAGAGGTGGACCCACTGCCCTTCCCAGGTCCCTTCCCTGCAGGGCCCCTGGCAGTAGCTGGAGGCCCCCGGAAGACAGGTAAGAACACTGTGGGTCCCCAAAGCTCTGGGACAGGGATGGTACAACTCCAGGAAACCTATCTGGCATCATTATGGGTATAGGGTCCCTTATTTCCCCTTCATGGATTCACTTATTTCCCTAAAAAGTACTTATGAAAATGTCTTTTTGTATGTTGGGGACCAAACAGTACAATGGGGACCAGAGAGGATTTCTGACCCTTGGACTGTCCGCAGACCTTCCCTGGAAACTCAAGACTTTCCCTGGGAGGTAGTGGACACTTTTCCCTGGAGAGAGATGTCTCCCAGCTGGCCAGTGGCTGTGGAGAAAGGCCACAGGGGGTCTGCCAGGGAAGACACTGTGGTCTGAGGAAGGCTGCTGCATCTCACTGCTCTGACTAGTCCTCCCCATCACTGCAGCCCCTGTGAATGCACTGGTATCGCACCTGCTCGTGGTTGAGCCTGAGAAGCTGTATGCTATGCCCGACCCTGCTGGCCCTGATGGGCACCTCCCGGCCGTGGCTACCCTCTGCGACCTCTTTGACCGAGAGATTGTGGTCACCATCAGCTGGGCCAAGAGCATCCCAGGTAAAGGGCCCAGATGTCCTGGGGCTTTCCCAAGCAGGACAGGTTGTCCTTGGCTCTAAGGCATTTGCTCAGCCAGGTCTGCTCCCTCCAGGCTTCTCGTCACTGTCACTGTCTGACCAGATGTCAGTACTGCAGAGCGTATGGATGGAGGTACTGGTGCTGGGTGTGGCCCAGCGCTCACTGCCCCTGCAGGATGAGCTGGCCTTTGCTGAGGACTTGGTCCTGGATGAAGAGGGGGCACGGGCAGCTGGCCTTGGGGAGCTGGGGGCAGCCCTACTGCAACTGGTGCGGCGCCTGCAGGCCCTGCGGCTGGAGCGAGAGGAGTATGTCTTGCTGAAGGCCCTAGCCCTTGCCAACTCAGGTGAGTCTAGGGGGGCACCCAGCACTCACCCACAGATCTCCCTGTAAGGCCCCTGACAACATCCCACCCTGCAGATAAGGAAAACTGAGGCCTACGGAAGAACAGCAACTTCATAAGTGTCACAAAACGAGTGAAAGGAGGTCCCAAACTGCATACAGGAGTTTGAGCTATGCTAATGTGGAAAGGTAGTTTAGTGAGGAGGGAAGGACAAGAGGTGGACAAATGGAAGGAGAAGGGGTGGGCCTTGGCTCATGGGCAGGAACCCCTGTCAGCCAGTCAGCAAATCCATATAGGCCCCTCTTTAGGCCTCATTGCAATGCTCAAGCAGGTGTGTGTTTTACCCTTTCCTGTGGTGGCCCAGGTCAACAGTTCTGGCCCCTTCCTTGCAGACTCTGTGCACATTGAAGATGCCGAGGCTGTGGAGCAGCTTCGAGAAGCCCTGCATGAGGCCCTGCTGGAGTATGAAGCTGGCCGGGCTGGCCCTGGAGGGGGTGCTGAGAGGCGGCGGGCAGGCAGGCTGCTGCTCACCCTACCACTCCTCCGTCAGACAGCGGGCAAAGTGCTGGCCCATTTTTATGGGGTGAAGCTGGAAGGCAAGGTGCCCATGCACAAGCTGTTCTTGGAGATGCTCGAGGCCATGATGGACTGAGGCAAGGGGTGGGACACGTCAGGGCGCTGACAGGACCTGCTCATCGTGGGGTCAGCCCTAAGGGGGCCGACTGGGGTCTGGGCAGTGCTATAGCCTGCTGGCAGGGCCAGGGCAATGCCATCAGCGCCTGGGAGCAGGCCCCATGCCCTCCTCTCCCTCCTCGTGGGGGTGTCAGGAGCTGGGAATGTGAATGCCCAGACTGGGCACAGTGCTGCCCCTTGCAAGCCATAATGTGCCCCCAAGAATGTAGGGGGCCTTGCGGAAGCCATAGGGGGCTGCAGGGGATGTGGCAGGCAGAAACCCAATCTCAGGGAGGGAAGGGGATGGAGGCCAGAGTCTCCCAGTGGGTGATGCTTTTGCTGCTGCTTAATCCGACTTCCTCTCGAGTAGAGGGGGACTTGGGAGAGCAAAGGCCCCTGCCCCCTTCGCTCCTCTCCTCATCATTTGCATTGGGCATTAGTGCCCCCTCGAAGCAATAACTCCAAGCAGGCTCCAGCCCCTGGATCCCTGGGGCAGCCAGGGCCCCCCATGAGCTCCCACCTAGCCTCCTCAAGGGGTCAGGAGAGCACTGCCTCTATGCCCTGCAGAGCAATAACACTATATTTATTTTTGGGTTTGGCCAGGGAGGCGCAGGGACTTGGGGAAGCCAGGGCCCAGAGCCCTTGGCTGTACAGAGACTCTATTTTAATGTATATTTGCTGCAAAAAGAAACCGCTTTTGGTTTTGAACCTTTAATGAGAGAGAGAAAAAAAGATATACTATGGAGCTCAAGAACACTGTGTTTGGTGTGTCACTGGGTCAGGGTTGGGGCTAAGCATGACAAGACAACAGAACATTCGTTAACAAAACACTAACAGGTCACAAAACGTCAAGCTGGTGGGCGTCTTATCAGTTAGGTCTCCGTTTCCTCATCATTCAGCAGCATGTTGGGGATTCCGCGACTGATGGGGAACAGACGTCCAGATTCTGGGCACTGCAGGGTGCCCTCCAGCACCTCCACCTATGGGGGGGCGGGGTTGGGGGCAGAGCTTAACAGCAGCAGCCTTAAAGTGAGCGGTGGGGGACCCAGGTGATCCGCACGGTTCTCACCTCCAGTAACACGTGGTGCATCTTCCTCAGAAAGTCCTCGTCGTGCTCATACCCCTCAGTCGGCTGGCTGGGCACTTCCTTCAGGTGCAACTACGAGCAAGAGGCCGAAATCATCTCTGGGCACGCGAACGCCCCGCCCTCCCCCAAGCGGGGCTGGGGTGGGTACAGGGGTGAGCCCGCCCCCCTCCGAGGGCTGCACGGCAGGGGCAGGGTCCTCACGGTATCGGCCGCCTCTAGAAGCGCCGACCACTCCACTTTGGGGATCATCCGAGCTACGAACTCTGGGTTGAACTCCACGGGATTGACGCGGACGTCGGTAGCCTGTGGGGCGGAGGTTTCGTGAGGCAGAGACGGGACCCCGGTTCCTCTATCCCGCCCAGGAAAGGGACAAGAGACCCTCCTCGGCCAGTACCTGGAGGCGCAGGGGGAAGCCACGGGGCCCAACGCCCCGCACATGGGAGCTCAGGAGATTGTGGGTGAGCAGTTTCATGTCGCCTCACTCGATCCCAGGCCGGAACCGGAAAATACGTAATGTGTAACTTCCGGGACCGCCCCGCTCCACGCTATTGGACGTCCTGGAGAACCGGAAGTGGCGAACTTGCTGGAACTTCTCGTGCTTAACGGAGCACGGTTGTGTGTGGGGGCGCCGGTCTTGTCTCGTGTTGCTACCGGAAGCGTCTCTGCGGGGGTTACTACCGCCCAAGCCAAACCCCGCTTGCTATAAATCATACGTAAAATGCAAATTATATGTAAAATATCTGCAATGCAGAGGCTCTTGTTGAATGTTAAATAAACCTGTTAGGCCTATACTGGAGCCTATCGTTTTGGGAGTTTTTTGGTACTTGGAATCGAATTCAGGACCTTGTGCTTGCCAAGGGGGTGCAATGCCGCTGAGCTATATCTCCGGCCGAGTCTCTCGTTTTTTTGTTTAAGGAATGGGAACACTGCCCTATCCATAAATTAGGCCTATCTAGAGAACGCCAGTACCTTCTATGCAAATGAGCTGTGCCACCACTGAAAGTCCCGCCCCATTTGTACACTGCGGCACGGGCCTATCCCCTAATGCAAATAAACCCTGAGTCCGGAAGCCCCGCCCCGCGCGCTGGCGCTCACGCCTGCGCAGTGAGGGCTGTGCGGCCAAAGCTCGGCCTTTTGCTGGATCTGTGGGCGGGGGGGGGCGGCCGGGGGCGGGCATGGGGCTGGCGCGCTGGACTGCGCTAGGCCGCCTAGCGGGGTCGGTGCTCAGTGGCGCGGCTGTTCGTCAGTGTGGAGCGGCAGCAGCGAGCCGGCGATCTGAAGGAGGAGCACGAGGGTGGGCGCGTGACGGGGTCCGCGGTTTCCGCAGCGTCGCCGCAACTATGGCCCCGATTAAGGTGACCTCTGGCCCGGCTGGGCCTGACCCTCCCCTGTCTCCCTAAAGTGGACCCCGTCGCACTTGTTGGGGGTGTCGCTGACTCTTCTGCCCTCTGGATCCCTCTCCGTTGCTCTCGAGGACCTTCCGCAAGGGTGCCCCTCCGTCCTTGCCAATTTAGTAGCCTCTCGCCCCCCATCTCCTGGGACATCCCCGAGGCTTTCAAGCTCCCCCTCTCGACCACTCCCTCCTACACTGTGCGGCATCCAGTGACAGGTCCCCATTCTTTTCAGACGAGCGCGTACCATGCACGCCATCCACCTTGTGGAAGCATCTCTTTCCTTACAGGGCCCCTTTTCTTTCTTTCTTTTTTTTTTTTTTTTGGTTTTTCTCCGGTACCGGGAACCGAACTCACGACCTTGCGCTTGCCAGGCAGGCGCTTTTGCCGCTGAGCTAAATCCCCAGCCCCCAGGGCCCCTTTTCAACTGTCTGTGCATCCGCTGCACCCCCACACGCTTTTGGCTTTTGTGATAGTACAGGGCAGACTTCGTACCATCTTCTGACACAGTTGTCCCATAGAACCCAGTATTGACTTCCACATCCCAACCCGCAACTGTCTGCCCTCCATGGCTCAACCCCACCTTTCTTCTCAGTACGCCCTCCTCGCTTCCAGGGACTGCTCACCTACGTGTCTAGCCCTTTTTTGAGACATGGTCTGGCCGAGTGCTTCCGCCTCCCCAGTGGCTGGATGTATAGGCCCCTGCCATCACTCTGAGGTTCTGTTCATTTTAATCCCATAATCCGGAACCGTCCTCAGCCTCCACCCCTTACCCTCTTCTGAGATCCCCTCTCTCTTCTCCTTCCCCTCCTACCTTTGGGCTCCTCAGAGACTCCCCTACCTCTGAACCTCCCTCCCCTTCTGTCTGCCTCCTCTGACCCCAAGACGTCCTCTTCCATCCTAGGTGGACTAGTCACCCTCCCCCGCCCCCCCCCACACCAAGATTCCCTCTTGTGGTAGCCCCCCAGGTAGCTGGACTCCTCCCCTAACTTTCCCAGCCCTCTTTGGCGTGGTGTGGTTGGGACATTTAGATCTGGCCAGGATGTTCTGCAGCCACGTTGTCAGGGCCTTCTGCGCCCTTTCCCTGCCCATTTATTCCACACCGGTCCTAATTTAGCCTGGGCAGAATGTTTGCACAATGTTGCGACACTTAGGGAGGTTGCCTCTCCCCTCTGTGTTGTTACCAACGGCCCTTAGGCAGAGCCAGGCTACCTTGAAACCTAGAGGATGTGGAGTAACCAGGTGGTGGAGGGAGGGGAGGCTAGACTTTGCTGTTGGGTTTCAATCCTGGCTGCAGCATATCCAGCTGCTAGGTTTTGTCCCCTTGCTCTGGTTGCCATTCCTCCCCCCTTACCCAGTGCCCTTCCCTCCAGGTGGGCGATGCCATCCCCTCTGTGGAGGTGTTTGAAGGGGAGCCTGGGAACAAGGTGAACCTGGCAGAGCTGTTCAAGGGCAAGAAGGGTGTGCTGTTTGGAGTCCCTGGCGCTTTTACCCCTGGGTGTTCCAAGGTGAGGCTCTTCAGCTTTCCTAAGTCCCGTGTTGTCTAGAGGCAGCTTGCAGGAGTATGTAAACGGTGAGACAGTAGAGAGAGCAGTTCAGCGACTTCAGGAAATATAAGCAGAGCCAGGACAAAGTAATAGTTCCCAGAATGGAGGAGGAAAGGACTACAGTTAAATTTTACTAATGCTGCTGGATGACAGGCACTCCGGAAAGTAGGTGGGAGTTGGGCAAATAAGACAAAGTCTTGAAACTGAGTGTGGTGGTACATACCTGTAGTCCTAGCATTCTAGGAAGCTGAGGTAGGAGGACTGAAAGTTCAGTCTCAGCCTGGGCAATTTAGTGGTATCATGACCCTGTCTCAAGAAAAAAAAAAAAAACAACAACATAATTCTGGCCATGGAATGTTCGTGGTTTTGATCACAAGATATTTGCAAATGAGCTTCCTAGTGGCCAAGGCATAAAGGGAATCTAATGGTTCACGTGGTTATCATTCCTGATCAAAGTCACTGAGTTAGGAAAGTGATGAGGGGCTGGAGATGAAGCGAGGCTGTGGACCAATGCAGTTAGTCCTTTATTGACTCTTTTACCCCTCTTAGACCCACCTTCCAGGGTTTGTGGAGCAGGCCGAGGCTCTGAAGGCCAAGGGGGTGCAGGTGGTGGCATGTCTGAGTGTTAATGATGTCTTTGTGACTGGAGAGTGGGGTAAAGCCCACAAAGCAGAAGGCAAGGTAAGCTGTGGGGACTGCAGGGGCTGGGGCCAGGTAGTAGCTTTTTTGTGACCTTTACTTTCTGTGTCCTCAGATTCGACTCCTGGCTGATCCCACTGGGGCCTTTGGAAAGGTGAGTGTGTCCCGTCACTCCTGCCCTTCAGCCACTTCCCATGCAGGACTTCCAGAGCAGGGCTTAGAGGAACGTGGTAGTGTGGAGAGCAGCCTTTGGCCTGTCCTGAGGGTTCTTGATGCATTTCTCCATCTCTCTTGTTAGGAGACAGATTTATTACTGGACAATTCACTGGTACCCCTCTTCGGGAATCGCCGGCTCAAGAGGTAAAAGCCTGAGAGCTCTTTAGGGGCTTCCCGGGGACTCTGGCTCCTCCCTCCCCTGCTGCCTCTGGGGCTGAGCTGGTGCACCCGCCTGGCCCCTCTCCGCAGGTTCTCGATGGTGATAGAGGATGGTGTGGTAAAGACCCTGAATGTGGAGCCAGATGGCACAGGCCTCACCTGCAGCCTGGCCCCCAACATCCTCTCGCAGCTCTGAGGCCGTGGGGCAGACATTCCCTCTGCCCTTTCCTGTCACATCTGCCCAGCCTGGACAGAAGGCCCTGGCCCTGCCTCAGCTTCAGCCATATGATTGGAGGGCTGGTCATGTTTCTGCAATTAAACACTTCTGGTTCTCATCTGTCTCCTTGATGTGGAGTTGCTGCCCACTGACGGCCTCATGACACAGCCACAGGTTGAGCCAAGGGCTTCAAGGTGGAGGGGGTGCTTAAGAAGGGATGGGGGGTTGGAACATCAGCCTGGAAGCTGAGAGCAAGAATTTTGTGGGTCTGTAGGGAGCACAGGAAAGGCCCCAGGCAGCTGTGGGTTTGGCACACTCCAGGATCTTTTAGACTTGCTCTGGGGTGCTGGCTGGTCTTGTGTGGCCTGACCCCTGGGACAGAAGCCTTACATCTAGGCCTCCCCACAGGGGCCCAGTCCACGTCTTTTTAGGCTCTAGCCATGTCCTGAGAAGGGCCCCAGGTACCTTGGGACTGGCTGGCTGGCCAAAGGGGCTCCACTGGGGGGAGGAGTGTAGGTGAGGCCTGGCCCACAGTTTGTGGCAGTGGGAGACCAGGAGCCAGGGTCCCTGCCAGGCCTTGGGGAGGGGAATTGCAGCCCTGCTCTTGAGGCTCTGCCTCTTTGGCCTGGGAAACCGTATACGTGCAGCAGGCTGCGGTTATTAAGCCCCTGCTGTGTTTAGGAGGTCACAGTCTAAGAGGAGCAGCTCTACAGAGCATTTACTATGTGTTGGGCACAGTGAGGTGTGGACTGTTACTGCTCTGGCTTTGAGCCCTGCAGGCTGGGAAGGCCAGGGGGCTCTCCTCATAGCACCAGGCTCCAGGCCCTTGCTCCAGGGTAGGGCATGTCCTGCCAGATCAACATTGTGGGGTGGGAGAGGGGAGTGGGACAGCCCCAGGCTGGTGCTGGGATGAGAGGGCTGAGAGGGTGCCTGAGATCAGCTGGACACCACTAAGTCAAGTCTCTTGCCTGTGCACCCTGTGGCCAGCTTGAACCACTGGACTTTTTCCCTGGGGCAGTGACAGGGCAGGTTCATATGTAGGCAGCCATTGAAGCCCAAGTGAGCTGGGCGCCAGGGAGAAGCACCTGATGGGCATGAAGGAAAGGCTCTGTGATCACAGTGGTGCTCGGGAGGAGAGGGTAAGGCGTGTCGGGGCCACAGTACAAGGTGGTGCTGAGGGGCAGTCAGGAGGAGGACACCTGGCATCCTGCCAGGACCCCAGGTGTTCAGCTGCCTAAGTGCCTGGGATGCCACCCTTTGTCCATGCGGTTCTTTCCCACAACCTGCCAACCCTGAGGTGTTGGGTGGGGGCGGAAAGGGAACTGGGGGCTCTTTAGTTTCCCTGGTAACCTGTCTCCTCTCCTCTTCCTCTTGCCCACCTTGAGTTACAGTGTGGTCCTGCTAAAGCCCCTTCCTCGGGTCACCACCTCTTTTAATCCTGTGGTGATATAAAGGAGGAGGGCACCTGTGAGCCTCCTTGCACCCTTCTGACTCCTGCCACCAGGGGAAGCCCCATCTCCATCTCTGTCTGTTGGAGATCACTACAAAGTGGCTCTGAGCAGGATTTAATATTAACCAGTTGGCTTTCCTTGTTCACTTGTGAATCTGTCCAAGGCCTAGGATCCTTATCTGGAAATGGCGGACTCATAGTAAGTGAACCTCCCTGAGTCAGTAATCCCTACCAGAACCTGTAGTGGTGGAGGAAACCAGGAAGTGTCAAAGAAGAAGACAAGATCACAGCAAGGACACCTGGGTCAGATCTCAACTAGATGAAGACTATAGCCTCAGGGTTCTCATTCTTCAGTGGATTAACTTCATACCTTACCTAGAGAAGTCCTTGGGTGGTTCTGCCCTTCTTGAGTACTCCCCTCCCTTCTTCTGATAACCAAATAAATATGGGTGACCCAGAGAAGGTCGTGGTCTTAGCCCTGAGAGAATCTTGAATTACGTGAGAAGGCTTTGATCCTCCTGGGGCCCTGAAATCATTCCATTTGCCTCTTTTTATTTAGCCTTTGCTGTACACTCATTCAGGAGATTGCGGACCTGATCAGCCCGCAGTAACTAAAGGATATTAACCCCAGATCTGTCACTTGGCCACCTCTGTCTGCACTGCCCTTGGGCTCTTATCTAGGTTGCTGAGCCCCAGCGAGACAGAGGAAACATCCTCTCTCGTGTCTATTGCTGTGGGCTGGGCCTCTAGGCCAGAATAAAGGGGTTTCCCTGGCCCCGGTGGCCTCTTAGGACAGCCTGGTCAGGGCTCAGTGTGGGTAGAGGAAGGGTTTTGGCCTTGGTGACCCTGGTTGCTGAACATAGAGCTCAATTTCTCAGAGTGAGAGGTTTCCAGTGGGGGTGGGACCAGCCCTGAGTATCATTCCAGGGCCTGGAGGGCTCCAGACCAGATGGCGCCTGGCAGGAGAATCTGGCATCCATCTCAGGGTGGACCTGCTGGGCCAGAGCGCACTGGAGATTAGAGCAGGCCAGGCCACGGTGGCTGGACCACAGGGCACTGGAGACCTGGTGCTGCACCTGGCAGAGGGTACATGCGTCTTCCTGGGTTGTTGGTGGCCAAAAGCTCAACATAGAAAAAACAAAAAACTGGTTGTGGTGGCGCACACCTGTAATCCTACCACTCTGGAAGGCTAAGGCCCGAAGATGTTAAGTTTGAGTCCGGTCTGGGGAACTTAGCAGCTTAGTGAGAACCTGTCTCATCTGTGAGCTAAGCCTTTATCTTATTTAGAAATATTTAGGAATCTGTTTCAACCATCATTTCAGTATTAACTTGACCTGGTGGGTTAGAACTAGTTCTGCATGGAAGCCTCATAGATGTGCTCAGGTAATAATGTAGAGCTAGTGCAGCAGCTGCATGATTACTGGGACTCACACTTCTATCTTGCTGCTCTGCCATTTTATTATTTATTTATTTATTTATTTGAGTTGGGGGTCTCAGTGTGTATTTCAGGCTGGACTTGAACTCATTTATGTAGTCCAGGCTGGTCCTGAACTCATAGTAGTCCTCCTGTCTCAGTCTCCCAAATGCTGGGATTACAGGCATGTGCCACCATACCTGGTTTGAGAATGACTGCTTTTGATCATGGTTCCTGGCATATAACTTCCTCCCCCAGGCAGGCCATAGAAACTCTGGTCTTCCCCTCCCTGTCTTGGAGCTTGTCATAAAAGAATTCTCTGACCTGCCTTTTTTTTTTTTTTTTTTTTTTGTCTTTTTGAGACAGGGTTTTGCTATGTGGTTCAGGCTGGCCTTGAGCACTCTTTATAGCCCAGGCTAGACTGGAACTCAGCAGTCCTCCTGCCTCAGCCTCCTGAGTGCTGGGATTACACACGTACATGCCACCACGCCCAGCCTCTGATTTGGCCTTTATCTGATAGTAACTCATCTTATTCCAGAGGGTCCTGCCCTTGCCTGGGAGGGAGGAAGCCTGGGCAGAGACCAAGAAGCATGTGAACAGACAGGCCTGGCTGGGTCTCCCGTCTATTAGCATTAGTTCAGACCCTTTTGTCCAATCACGTTTTGACACGGTTGTGTGAGCTCCAGTTACACCTGTACAATGATATATCGCCACCTCTCTGAAAACCTAAAGGGACAAGGTTCCAGAGTTTTCAGATGCCAAATCTGCAGAGGACCTTCTCCTAGAGCTTGTGCTGTGCATCTCTTCACCTCTGTCCTTCAGACAGGCTGGGGATGGAACCCAGAGCCTTACCCATAATGGCAAGTGCTCTACCACTAAGCACACCCCCAGGCTTGTAGGATTCTTTGTAATAAACGAATAAATAAGCGTTTTCCTATGTTCTGTGAACTGCTCAAGCAAAGTAATTGACTCTGAGGAAGGGGTTGTGGACACTTGAATTTACAGCTGGTGGGTCAGAACAGATGTAAAACAACCCAGGGCTTGTGATTGCGTCTGAGTGGAGGGCAGTCTTGGGCACTAAGCTCCCAGCTGTGAGATCTCATTGTCAGAAATGAACTGTTTTAGAGAACATTCACCTGGTATCTGCTCCTGCAGAATTGATTGGCTGTTTGGTGTGTGGACCCCCACCCCACATCCGATGTCGGTAGTTTCTATGTTAATTTTTGTTTTCATATTTTGGAGACAAAGCCTTGCTAAGTAGTCCAGTCCAGCCTTGAAGTCAACTAAGTAGCCCAGGATGTGCTCCAACTTGCAGTTCTCCTGCCTCAGCTTTCCTGAGTGGTGGGATTATAGGTGTGTACCACCATGCTCAGTTATGATTGTGCTGGTGGTGTGAGAACAGAGGGAAAAAAAGCCACAAGACTTTGTTTTCTCCCAACATATATAAGACAGTAACAATAACTAATAATTTTTTAAAATTCTGTGCAGTAATAAGATTGCCAACGTTACTGCTCTTGGCCTTTGGAGTCATCACTAAGTAAAATAAGTGCAGTCTGAACACAGCAAAGCAACCTGATTATTAACGGGCAAGTAGCATACACCGCATGGATATGTTAGGCAGGATAGAGCAGCCTGAGATTTCACCATGCTCCTGAGAATGCTGCACAATTTAAAACAGGAATTTTACATTTCTGGAATTTTCCATTTACTATTTTCAGACCATGGTTGACTACAGAGTAAAGCTTTGGATAACTGCAAATCTCTTTTACCCAGATCTCATTGGATAGAACTGCCCCCCAGGCTGCGAGGGAGTTTGGGAAGTAGCTTCATTGCAGGCAATCACATGTCTAACTAAAACCAGGGCTTCTATTACTAAGGAAGAAAGGAAAGGAGGCCATTTAGAGTCACCTCTAGGCAGAGGCATCCTGAGGACTCCATGGGCTCCCGAGGAGTGGTGTTCCCATCAGCCTTGTGTGCTGTCCCTGGCTTCTGTGTGGCCTCATCTCCCCAGTGACTCTGCTCTATCCTTGTTCTCTTTAACTTTACCCCCCACAGCCACCCCAGTTCCCCAGTTTGCAGATTCTGTAAGCTCCCTGGCTCCAGCATGTACCAGACAGAGTTCACTGCTTGTGATGTCCCTTTCCCTACCCCTGGCCAAATGGCTCAGACCTTCAGGGTCCTGTGTCTGTGCCATTTACTTAGAATAATAGCTATTGTTTGTTTCTTTTATCTTTTTAAGACAGGGTTCACTATGCAGTT